GGAGAAATAGGGATAAAATCTGATGCAAATTGATGATAAAGGAAATGTACGGCCTAATTTTGGAGGGGGGGACTTAGAAATGTCCCCCCCCTCAAGCAAACTGACTGGGGATGTATTGGGGTTTCAAAGGAGTGTAGAGACAATGCTTAACCATGAAGTCTCATTAATTTTCACACCTAAAATGAGGGTGCAATCACTTTTAAAAGTACCCCTGTAGACCCGGGCCTGCACCCAAGTCTTGGTTTCTTTGCAAGAAAAAATAATATTACCATGATTTCTATGATAACTGAAAAATGAAAAGTTGGATGAGGGACAGGAGCCAGAGAGGAACATGTGGTCACCCTAACTGCACCCATAATATAAACTGTGACTTCATTTCAATGCAGAACCACAAGTATTTACTCTAGAAACAGGATTTAATTTTCAGGAAGTGTCTTTACAACTAAACCAGTAGATTTTGACTTTGCATTTGAAACACTTTTACTTTGTCTTACGCCTGAAATCATACACTCAGAGCTTTAAGAACAAATTGGCCCAAATATATCAAACTTCACAGTCACTGCCAAGTCATTTAGATTTAAAACCATTATGTGATAGACTACACTCATATAAATGGACACAACTCAATTTCATACAGAGAGCGGCACAATGGCCCATTCTCCAACGCTGCAGATAATACTGTAAGAAGCTTTGTCAGCCAGATCCAGAGACATATAATTGCCGGAAGCCCTTGGTTAATAAGAAAATATATATCACTTAATGCATGATGATTCTACAATGTTGAAGCTTTGGAGCCCAGGCACTGGCAGTCTTTGAAATCCCAGAATGAGACGAAAGTCATCTGCATAAATTGACTAATTAATGTTGTTATGCTATAAGCTTTCATCTACTATTGCATTAAAAATTACCATAGCTGTTGTATGTTGGATGCATCTTCTGTTTGCAGGATGGTGGCAGTATGTGGAGTTTCCATCATCTTACTCCAGTTTTCCCCTTAAACCTAAAAACATGCATACATATTTTTATGTTTGAATTTCCTTCATGGCCAATAAAGTATCCATCTATTTAAATTGTTAATCCTCTAGCAAGTCCTAACCAAACTGTACTCTGACCTGAGTGCCTGAGTGAATGGTAGCAGGTCACTTAAGCCCTTGCTATTTTTGCTGTTTATTTGTAATGAGTGAGTGTGTCCAAATAATTTCCTTTGTGGATCAATAAAGTTTGTTTCAAGATATGGATATGTTCAAAAATTGGTTAAATGTAGATAGCAATCTTTTCTATGGTAACAATAAAGTATGGCCTACCTCACCATATTTTCTACTACTTCTTTAGGATTATAAAATATATTTTATCATCTGTTATTATGGAAACCAAACCAGGCCAAGTTACTGGTTAAATCTGTGGAGAGGCATCCCCACTCACAGTAATTCCTGCTTTTCTAGATAGTTTTGAGCAATAAAACCACCTTAATTGAATACATGTAAGAAGCTGTAAAGAGCTGTTTCATGTCATACTGTGACAGCAGCCACACCAGCTTTTCAAAGCCTGATCCTGTCAGATCTCAGAAGATAAGCAAGGCCAGGCCTGGTTAGTACTTCACCTACAGACCTCTGGGAAAACCAGGTGCCACAGTGGGGCGGGAGTCGCAAAAACTGTTGTTGTGTCTTTAGGCAAGGCACTTCACCTACATTGCCTAGTATGAAAGTGGTGTGTGCATGAGTGATGGTGGTGGTCAGAGGGACCAATGGTGCAGATTGGCAGCCTTGCTTCCGTCAGTCCGCCCCAGGGCAGCTGTGGCTACAATAGTAGCTTACCACCATCGAGTAACGAGTGGATGAATAATGCTCAGCAAAGTGTCTTTGAAAAGTGTTGTATAAAACTGATGCATCATTATTATTATTATTATTATGGAAAATTCAAAGCAGAGCAATTACATCATATCCATAAAAACAAGAAGATGATGGACACCCAACCGAAAAGTTACATAGTGCATCTTTAAATAGGCCAATTGCTAATTTAGTTATTGCACTCAATTGACATTTTTTGCACATGCCCTCTGCCTAGTGGGTGGGTGCGCCTTTCAAGTGAATGTCCTTAAAATGGTTGAATTGAACCCTTGAAAAATTGGATGACTTCCAAACCAAATAGTCTTATACAGCAGATAAAGTAAGTTAAGTTTTGTGCATGTCCAGAATGTTAAGACTGAAGATGAGGCAGCCTCCCCCGCAGAGCAGATCCTTCGGCTCTTCATCAAGGGCCCTCAAAGCTATAGCCTACTCCACTATTCACACGCACCACTTTATAGGCTACATCTATTTTTCCCTTTCACACTCACATTAGAATTAGTGGCCCACGCAGGTAAGATTAGACCATGCACGGGCACCCCACGGAGCTCCATTCAGAGACATTTGTGTAACTCAACTATTTTAAGTTATGATGTCATCCGGCGTGTCCCGTTCATGGTGGATTACTGAATTAGACAGACAGCGAGGGGATTTTCGGTGTCCTGGTGTGAGTGAAGCTATTATCACACAGCCCGCAGGCTTCATTTCAGGATCCGTTTTGATCTTCAACAAACAAGTCAGAGTCCTTTATATCAGCCTGTCAGCCTGGTCCAATCTACACCGACTACTCTATGACTTTGCCAATTGATTCATCAACTTATTTTCTGATTGGTTTCCTGACAGCGCTCCACAGTCTCTGATTGATAGCTCTACCTCTTGCCTCGAGGTCAAACTGTGGGTGAGGAGGTGTCCGTCCCCTTCTGTGTGCGTAAGGTAAACTTTACTCTTCTAACTTCAGCCAGTGCAGCCACTATGTGTGCAAAGTAAAATATTGATTAACATCTAGCCCTGATTCATCATTCTGTTTGACTCGCAGTTATGACCGATTTACATTAATTATTTCATTTTTCTACGTTCATGCAGATGCTGTGGGTTCTTAACTAATAGATCTTTGGCTCTTAATTATTCAAGGCCTAAGTCCTATGGAAATGACATGTTGCCATCTGCTGGACAGTCGCTGAATTACAATACAACGCTGCAAAAACATAACACTATATAATATAAAGCTATTGTAATGTCATTTATATACTTATTCTATTCATACTTTTAAAATAATTGGTATAAAAAGTCACAGAGAGATTACCGCACAACTTCCAATTTGAGCTTGTCAAAATGCATCCCCCATCAGGACAAATTATTACCCTACCTATTAATATTTATATGCTCTAGTTAGATGACACGGTTCATGATAACAAAGCATGATGAGGGCTTCAGTTATAACTATGACAACAATGCTATTCGTGAACATCCAAAGCCTGACCCAGTTCCATTGAGGACTCTTCTTTTCCATCTTGCTCTGAATTAATAACAGCTGACAGATTTGAATGCCCACTGTTTCTATCCCACTTTGAATTTTTCTAGGATTCTACATAATTCATTTAGCCTACTAACTTTGGTAAAGTTGCCAAAGCGTTGTTGTAGTTGTGCAATCTACATCTTAGATTCAAGTAGGTCTACATGATCTGCCTATTTTTCTCTATTTACTAACCTATTTTGAAAAACACCAAAATGAACTATAACCAAATGTGTATTTTAGCGACATTGAATGATGGCTTCCTATCAGCTACTTCAAGAACACGTGCAGTCTATAGGGAATGGATACTGATTGCACCTCCTCAAGCCAAAAAGGTCTTAAAACTGGGTCCTGAAAAAGGTCACTCTAGCTTTTACTTCATAGTCGAGTAAAAATACAGGATAGACCTATACACAAAACATATAGGCTGTGTTAGAGAAGAATGAAAATGGAAATGAGTGATAGAAAGCAGCTTTATGAAAACTAATGGATCTAATGGACATTACGCCTTGTGCCTGTTTTCAGTGGATATGTTATTGCACTGCCTAGATATGTTTCTCAGAGTAGCATTAAAATATCTATCTTAGGGTGACCAAATGTCCCTATTTAATCAGGACAGTCCCAGTTTTGAGCCCCGTGTCCCCTGTCCCAGCAGATTTATCCAAAACCATTGATTTGTCTCAGTTTTACACAAGAACTGACCCAGCTGTCCACATTTTTTACCATTTTGATACCAACAGTAGAGAGATAAATATAGCCTATTCATATTTGTTTTTCTGAAATGCACAAACAGTCATCCCTGAGATTATCTACTGACCCACAAGTGAGAATAGACAATGTCACAGGCTTTTTTCAAAATTTTATTTATAACAACCCTCCCAACCCCGGGTGTGTCCCAGTTTTGAATTTTGAATATCTGATCACCCTGATCTGCATTGTATTTGTTCAGTTACAGCTGCCTTTATTGACCTAAAACACCTTGAAAAACATGCTTTGTTACAGTGGAAGTGCCTCTCCACAGATCTGACCTGTAACTTGGTGTGGCCTGGTGTGTCACTAGATAATGTCAAATCTGTGGAACATTTCAGGCAAACTAATAACACCTCCAATGAGAAAGGCAGGTGGTGGACCCTCCACCAGAAAATTCTAGTGCTGTGAAAACATGCAAAGGAAAAAGCAAGAAGCTATAACAGAAATAAATTACAGTTTTACAAACAAACAACTAAATTCAGAAACCCATAGGCTAATATAATGCAAAAATGATTAAACACACGATTAATAGGCTTAAGTCAAAGATAATCAATTGTCAAGAAGAAGTAAACCCATAGATCTATAAGTAAACCTGAAGTTGTTGTTTTTTTGTTTTTAGTTTTTTTTCCAAATATACTATGTAATATACAATGGTATAAACAATAACATTGCTAGAGGCTCAAGAATTCATATTCACAGGGCTCAACATGCTCAATATCTGCATTATGCAAATGCAAATGTACAAAAATAATACATATATTCACGTTTTATATTTCAAATTCACCTGAAGTGAACGCGCATCAGACGCACGCGTGGATCTTGACGTAAATGGAGTTGAGTCAGGCCTGAGTGATCGAGCACAGATCCCAGCCCCAGAGCGGAGTGTTTTCATGCTTTCAACCTGCGCCACTCTCTCTGCCATGGCGTCCGTAATGTATCTCATGAAGGAGGGGACATCATAGCAGCGCATACCTTCTTGATTCTCTGAAGTTTGTGTCGTGCGTTTCCTACATTCATCCTTGAATACAAATATTCCGTGAACCGGCCATGACCGTGGAGCAGAATGTCCTCCAGCAGCATTCTCAGAAGGTAAGCGCACAAGCTAACTTATGGCTAACTTTAGCTAAAGTGATGCTAACTGGGGCTCAAACTGCGTACCGAGTTGGTTATGCAGTATCCTTTGGGCGTTACTTAACCCGTATGTCAGATTATTACCCAGCTAAAAGAAACATGCAAAATCAACACATAAACTGCCCGGGAAACGTCCACATGATCAAAATTAGCTTCGATGTTATTCCAACGCGTAGCACTCCGTTATCCAATGTTTTGCAAGATGCTCAGGAATGTTGTTAGCTCAACTCTGCGCGGAATGGAAGTTCACCTAGACATATGCATTTTCCAACTGTGTGCAGATGTGCATCTTCGTAACTGGATTGCATTGTTTTCCATGTGCAAAACACGCTTTATTTTAGTTAGCCCGCGTTAGCTCTCCACAGTGTCGTCAAGAGAAATAAACAAGGCCAACATAAATCGGTTAAGTTTTCTTTAACTTGAAAGGCATGCCTCTATTTTATGGGTTAATAGGTTAGTTCTGTTTGGTATTGCAGTCTCTCATCATGCTGCAGACTTGTTATGCGTGAATATATAGATTTGTTGTTGTGATCAGGTGGTTTCAATACGTGATATCTTTGTTTACAACGCATGGTCAGTGGGAAACATAGAGGCACACTGGAGCCCCGCTGTTCTAGTTTTGGGCGTTTCATAACACAGAGATGCTCTTAGGTTTCGTTTATAGGTGTGTTATGATCACGTATGAGAACTCTGCCAAGATGGACTCATTTTTAAGCTTCGTCTCTGGGATTAGTCTTTGACAGCTCTGCTTAGTTATGTAACTGAAGTAGTGATGATGGTAAAACACAACTATGCAGCGGCGCGTTGCCATGTGCTGTCTGTGTAATTATGGAGCCTTAAATTGACATGTTGTATTATATGAAAGGAAATCCAAACCTTAATTGTGACATTTTTGTAATTTATTATTTCACCATAGAGTAACAGTCAAACCAAATGAAAAATGAAAATGAAAACAGAATCAAATGAAAACAGTCAAACCAAACCAAAAATAAAAATGCTTGAATAAAATACAGACATAAAAGTAATAAAAGAAAAGGAGTAAAACAAACAACTTGACAAAAACTGAATACAAAAATAAAAAGAACAATATACTCAACTGGTCAACTTGGCTCACACAGACAAAATGCAACACATAGCATTGCATTTCATAAAAAACTATAATATTCAAGTTACCACACTGACAAACAAGAACAAATTTCAGCAATTTAAAAAGGTGTGATTAGAATTGATGTTTGGTGTTTTGTGACTTGGTTGTTTGTAGAATGGTAACAAGGTGTAATGTTTGTGCATGTAATAACTTGTATATAGTCACCTGAGGTCAAGTTCAAAACGACGCCTAATCCTGTCAGACTGTCTGTCTGTGTTTCTTTTGCAACTCCTTTAAACGCACATAGCAAAACTGTGCCAGAACCCGATAGCTGTAATGCAGTGGGAATGCCCCTGTTTGTAACCTGCCCCACACTGGCCTTGCAGAGAATGCAGCGGTGTTATTCGCAAGCGGATGACCACTATGACAAACTGCTAAGGCAGGCTGGTCACATGAGGATGAGAAGTCCTGTGTATCCTGGTTACATACAGTTGTGTGGTTTGCTGCAGAGAACTGTTTTCCTCTGCTTTAAACTGCCCCTGCAGTCTAAGTGTCAACAAATAGTATACAACATTTACCATTTGGCCTTATGATGTAGTAACACTCCCTTCACATAAAGAGAAAATGTATAATTATATACAGCATTATTTAATAAAATTCTTAATATTTCAATTACAAATGTTAATCTTGCATTTGAGACCTCTGGGGAATGTAGAGAAATGAACTGCTAAGAACGCAATTGCAGGTATTTTGTAAGACATTTTTGCCTACATCTGCCATTAATTACAAAACTGAAACCGTTTGCAATTATGAGATTACAAATTGATCGATTACAAAGATTCCTCTTCAGATGGAATAAAATTATGCTTAATTGAGTGCAGCTTAACATGCTTCATCTCTAGGCGTGACTTTCACTGTTTTATGTGCAGTTACTTAAGCAACCATATTCAAAGTGACTCATGGTTCAGATTTTTTTTTTTTTACTTGCCAAGTTCTTGTTCTCTAAGTATTGTGCAACCCTTCTTATATTCTCAGTAAAAATCTTAACTGAAAAAGGGAAAAAAAAAAAACAACAACCATATTAGCTGATTCTGTTTTGAATGAACATGTGTGTTGCCCAGTGCACCTGTAGAAGCTGAGGTCTTCTGCTTTCGACACTGACACTAAGTGCACTCCTCCAGGCCAGTATTTATAGAACTTTATTCAAGGTATAGATTGCAGGTTAAGTGGGGTGTGAAGTCAGCTTTAGGGCATCTGGCTTTGGCATGTTTGGAACAATAACAGGTTTATGAGATTTCCAAGAATTGACAAGTAATAACTGTGTTTCAAGTTTGGATTTCTATTTACCTTTAGGCATTTATTTAGGGATTACTTTGATGTGAATGGTTACTTTATAGTTGGGGGAAACAGCAAATCAAACAGAACTGAGTCTTCAAATCCTCACTTAAACTATGTAAATATTTATCAAGATCCTTACGATGATTATGTTTTTAAAATGTTGGCTGAATTTTACTTTCTCTTTCAACAGCATCAGCAGACGCTACTAAACCAGTTGAGAGAAGTTACAGGCACTACAGATGTTCAGTTGCTTCAACAAGCCCTTCAGGTATGCAGGAATAAAGTAAGAACAGTGGTAACATATTTCCATTTTAGCAAATTAGTGATTTCAGGTGACTTAAATTGATAACTTGATTATGACACTAAGGAAAAGGCTTGATACTCTATACACATTTTGGTACCACAATGATGATAAGTTGGTATTTCTGTAGACAATAGGCTGCAATTTACAACACATAGTAATAGTTTTTTCTTTCAAATTTGGGGATGGGATCTTGTACTGCTTCTAGTATAGGGCATTTCTATTCTAAAATATTCAAATTTTGGCATCTTTATGTGATTTCTTCCATATTAAAATTTGTATGATCCTTATTATCAATTAGTATCTGGGTATTAATACTTTAGTCAACCCTGTCCCCAATTTATATATACATTTCAAAAATGGTACCTACCTGGAGCTGTTGTAAACATAACTGATGAAAATGTTGCAGGTGAGCAATGGAGACCTTGCGGAGGCCGTTGCTTTTCTAACGGAGAAGAACGCCAAAGTTCCTCAGCAACAAGATGAGACGACCTACTACCAGACGTCTCAGGTGGCTGGTGACAGGTACATCAGCGTGGGAAGCCAAGCAGACACAAGTAAGCAACAAAACTAAACTAACATGAATGGGGATGCTACAGTACTCATTATAATGTCAAATTATTCAATACGACCCTCACAATTCAAAACAAGTGTGTAGTTGAGTGCATAGTTTCACAGATACAGCTGGAAAGGGCCTAACTCTGCTGTATTTATACAGTTAAGAGGTGGTGTAAGTGAACGAAATAGTATAGTAATAATGTGGATGGTTTTAGTTTTAGAATTCACCTTATTCTGCCCCACCCACGTTTGTCTCTAAATGCTCCTAAACGGCTTTCTTGTGGTGGCAGTTCTGGTTAAACAGGGATTTCGATGGCAATTTGAGGAAAGTTTTGCCACTTAAATTTGACATAAAGCAAGTTAATTTTGTAAAGTCTTCAGTGTTCATGTGCACGAACAAGTCAACAATGCACTGATTCTCTGGGGTATTTCAAACAAGTTTATAGTCCATATTGAACTTATGTGCTGTCCTTGACTGCCCCATACAAAATAAGGTGAATAGTGTAATTGAAATAGTATGTTTATTGATAATTGCCGTAAAAATAAGAGACTGAACATATGTTTTTGTTATTTGGAGACCTGTAAAATCATATTATGACCCATGTATGAGGTTTGTATTGGATCGTACGAAAAGAATATCCTTTCATCCTAAATGTCTATGCTTTTGTGACACATTTATCTTTTGTCTGTGTAGATGTGATTGATCTCACTGGGGATGACAAAGATGACCTCCAGAGGGCCATCGCGCTCAGCCTGGAGGAGTCAAATCGGGCATTCAGGGAGACGGGCATCACAGATGAGGAGCAGGCCATAAGCAGGTGAGTTTAAAGGTACAATATGTAACTTTTTGATTGGGGTCCATCACCTGCTTGTTTCTATAGATACGTCATTGCTCTGCCTCGAATGTTCCATGGCATGACATTAAACAGCTCTACTTTAGATTTATTAAATTACAGGTGTTCAAAAACAGGCATTCTAACTGTGAGTGGGGTTGCCTCTCCACAGATCTGACTTGTAAGTTGGTCTGATTTGGTCTTCATGAAGATAGAAAGGTTTAACCCCATACTGTGAAATATTCCAGACAAAGTAATAACATCTCCATAGAGAAAAAGCATTTGATTGACCCTCCAGCAGAAAAGTTACACAATGCACCTTTTAAATATAATAACATTTTACTTGTCTAACCAGCTCTTCAGTGTACTTTATGTGCTTGTGACACAGGGTAAATAATAGTAATGGTATTCTTTCTTATGTCTTTTCTTCCAGAGTTTTAGAGGCCAGCATTGCAGAAAACAAGGCAAGCCTGAAGCGCACCCACACAGAGGTATGGAGTGATTCTCCAAATCCACACGACAGGAAGAGGATCGACAACTGCCCCGTGGGGTTGAAAAATGTTGGCAATACCTGCTGGTTCAGTGCAGTTATACAGGTGAGACTGTGCTCTTCCTATCAATCAAACATGTCATGTCTTCTTACATTTGCCTTTTAAGTTCCTTTTTCCTCCCTGTAATAAATTCAAATTAGTTTTTCCCCAGTACAGATATTTTACATATTCTAAAAGTAGCTTTTAGGGTGATGATAAGACTTGCTTAGACCTAGACAAACTTTTTTGATCCACAAGGGAAATTATTTGGAGACAGTAGCTCATACATCACAATATATTATAATAACAAAGAGCAAGAATGTAAATGGTAAATTCTGGTCATGGCATTTCTAAATAAGTAGCAAAAGATGGGTGTCAAATAAGACATAATTATAAAAATATATATGTACAAGTAAAAATAAAATATAGTAATACTAATATATCTCAGCTAACTAGAAGAGGTCAAAAGAATAAACAGTGCAAAGATGATATAATGATTGACAGGACATAGGGTTATCTACAGTATATAAGACCATTGTGTTCAGTCTAAAGCATTTGCATCACACTCAACCAGGAACTTCAGTTAGCATGCTAGTTGTTGTTAGCATTACTCTGATAGCAAAACTCTTTTCTTGCCTTATAAAGCGCTTATAAACTCACTGCAGAGATGAATCATTGGTATGCTATGTGTTAGGTAAGTGGGGATTAATGTTGGACCGTTGCAATCTGTTTAAAATGAACTACTTCTGTTTTTCATGTTGTTAAGATGGCACAGTCCCTTTTAAACTAATCGACTGCTGCACAAATATGAGAGATGAGCTCTGAATACAGCATCACATGGTGTCTGCCTTCTGTGTGTAATATAACCCCACCCCATGAGAAGTCGGCATAGGTTCAAACTCATCATGCTGTGCTAGATTCAAGTAAACAACATTCCACTATACAAGCAAAGTGTAGCATATGTGCTTGTTGTTGGAAACTGATATCTACTTTTTGTGTCTTTACAGTATAGTTTGGAAGTGATATAACCAATTTTTTTATGAAATAATTAAAAGCTGTTTTCCTGTTGTACAGATAGATTGTGACTAGGGCTTTTAATCACTAGTTGAATAATCATTTTATTCAGATTTATAAGGATTTTTTTTGCTTTGGCAACAGCAGAAAGGAGAAGTCAGTGATTGAATTTGCAGAATTTGGTATTTTTGGTATTTCTCTGTAGAAGGCTGACTAAACTCATGATTCACAAGTTATCTTTGTATAAATGCCTTGTTGCCTAGTACTTTTTTCTGCATAGATCTTTATTTTTGCATTGACTCCTGTGCAGGTGTAATTGGGGTCAGATACACAGAAACACATAATAGTTTTAGGAGCTTTTGCCACACCCCCTTGCTGATGTCTTAATTCATGTCTTCACAACAATATTGGTCTAATTTTATGTCATTTTCTTTTCCCCAAGTCCTTGTTCAACTTATTGGAGTTCCAAAGGCTGGTCCTCCACTACTCTCCTCCAGCCAGAGTCCAAGACCTGCCTCGCAACCAGAAGGTGAGAGTTTTAGGAAAAAAACTGTGGCTTTGAGATCCTTTTGTCCCTTATGTTGAAAGTGCACTGTGTAATATTTCTTGTGGAGGGTTCACCACCTGTTTGTCTCTATGGAAATGTTATTGCTTTGTTTATAATATTCCAAAGTATAGATTGCCTATCAATTACGAGGGAGACAAGCAGGTTACAGTGTTTGTGAATGTTTTATGGATGAAAGTTTTATCAGTGCATTTTGAGTTTTAAAGCTATTGTGTTAATTTTTCCCTAGGAACATAGAAACCTACCATTCATGCAAGAGTTGAGAAACCTCTTCTCTCTGATGGTGGGCTCTAAGAGGAAATATGTAGATCCTTCACGGGCGGTGGAAATCCTGAAAGATGCTTTTAAGTCCAGTGAGTTGCAGCAGGTAAGACAATTTACATTTTGTATTTTTATATTTTACTGTATTTGTATTGTTGTTTTGTGTTTGATTTAATTCAATGTATGTTTTTGGGGGGGGTGTGCATCAAATCATTGCAGTGACCAAAATCTGTACACATTCACTTCTTGGGGATGTGTCTCCTGAATGTGAGCAAAAAGTTGTTCCTCATTTAAATTCATATATGTGTTAAAATAGGGTAAGGTTAGGATTAAGGCTGCAGGCAAGGTAGTAATTATGGTTAAGGTTAAAATCTTTCTCCAAGATGTGGATCTACGTCAGTGTAATGTTCTCAAAAAAACGTGCAAACCCAACGTGCATATGTGTGTGTTCAGTTGTTTTTGTAGGTCTTGCCTCTTGTTCTTTCAGGCCAAGTTATCGGCGACTCCCCTGATCCCACTAATTTGTAACCTTTCAAGAACGCTTAACCTTTCACTGTTCTGCTAGTAATCTGTCCACCGCCCCTTCTTATCCTCTTTGGACTCGCTCAAATAATATTGACCAGGAATTAGCTGGGGTGCATATATGTCCTATAATGTAACTTCCATCTGTCAAGTGCGCTGAGCTTGTCCTTACATAAGCAAAAGCACTGAGCCCATGTCTGCAGAGGGCATCTTAGGTCACCTCTTATGGCCTCTGTTCTCATCCGTCATGTCACTTCTTTGTGTATTAGACCGGTCAGATAGAAATTGAACTGAATTACAAGTCTCCATTGATGTCTTCTCGAAAGTGGCCCCAGGACCTGCAGTTTCCCTTTGAAGTTCAGCACTTTCCTTTGTCAAGACCAGCTACCTCAAATCCAAAGCTCAGCATACTTAGCCGATGATGGTCCTGGCAATAAAAAATAGGGATAGGCAATATTTTGGTTTGCAATAATGATATTCCTGGTAATATTGTAATAATAATAATGTTGGTCAGACAATGAAACATCTACCTATTTAGTTTTAGCTGTATAGATATTTGGCACTAATATTTTTAGCTGCCCTTCTCTGTGTGCCCATGTATCATCCTAGTTTGTCCTCAGTGCATCAGATTTGTTTGAGGCTAAAACAGAACAAATTAAAAATGGAAAGAGAAGAGCAATTGGGCTAAAAATATGGTTGTATGTTTACATCAACACATACTTGTTGATGTTGTTATTATTTTTTACAAAACCAAAATCATGCTCAAAATTATGCTAAAATCTTAATGTCGGGTTGGGAAATATTGGCCACTACAGCAAGACCTACATCTCAAATTGGTATCCAGCCTTTCCTAATAAAACAAACCACACAAGATTGTTACACATTATCAATCTGGGATGGCCCTCTCTGAAAGCGATTGGAACACGGAACATCATGATGACTGTTTGAATCTGATTGGTGGAGGCACCACTACAGAGAAACAAGCCAAAAAAAAGAACAACTTTTGTTACATCCAGTGCTTACTTTCTCCATGATTTTCACAAACAAAATAGTGTTGACTCTAACATAGGATGAAATACGTCTGTTGGTGTTGCCGTGTTTGTTTTGGTGTGTTGTGGCTTTTTGACTTTGGATTCTGCACAAATATAGAGAGAATCTCAATATTTGACACAGAATCCATCTTGCTGTGCAAGGTTAGTCCAACAAGTCATTTAAAAAATATTCTTTACTTTTTTTTTTTATCATTAGCAGGATGTGAGCGAGTTTACTCATAAGCTGCTGGACTGGCTTGAAGATGCCTTTCAGATGAAGGCTGAAGAAGACAGGTAAACAAAAGCAGTCCATTTTGGGCTGCATATCTGTGATTTTCTTCTTTCTTGTACATACAGTTTTATGTTTATTAAAATATATTCTCTTAACTGCGTCAGGGAGGGTGAGAAGCCGAAGAATCCGATGGTAGAACTGTTCTATGGACGGTTCCTTGCTGTTGGTGTCCTCGAAGGTGAGATCATATGTTTAATCACAAACCATGAAGAGTACAAGACATAACAAAGAGAAGGAGGGCTGGCACGCTCTGATTGCAGTAGCGGGAATGCAAGCAAGTCTTTGCCCCCAGTAATGAAAGGTGACCTTGCCTTAATGAGATGTGGTCCATGTAAACGAGCAGGGTGGGTGCATTGATTGTAGAAGACCTTGACGGCTGATTGACATTGTGCTTATTATGCATGACAATACTGGCCCAGAGCCATACAAAGCTGGGCCAGTGGACTCTGCTACTCATAAAATGACCTTAATGCCTCATCTGCATGTCCGCTAGCATCTCCCTGCTCCACTGTGGGGAGATTCTCAGCACAGTTTAAATCATCATAATGTGTGAGTGACTGCTGAACAAGTCAAAAGCAAACAAGTGTGAAATGGATTTAATTATTGCAGGGCTTGCACATTCACATTGGGTCTATGCTTTCTTCTTCAAGTTCAATTCTACTAGTTTGACCACATCTGTTCATTGATTTCTCAGGCAAAAAGTTTGAGAACACGGAGATGTTTGGGCAGTACCCGCTGCAGGTGAATGGGTTCAAGGACCTTCATGAGTGTCTGGAGGCCGCCATGATAGAGGGGGAGATTGAGTCGCTCCACTCAGCAGAAAACTCAGCCCGGTCTGGACAAGAGGTCAGTGAAAAAGAGCGAGAAAAGGACTGCAAAATGTACACATGAAATATTTTTTGAAGCCAAACATATTCTGCTGGCAAACGTTGAAAAAAATATTATTTGTCTTATTCTAGGTTGTATATGTATTATTATTTCTTAATCCTTATATTTGCCTTCCAGCACTGGTTCACAGAACTCCCACCGGTCTTGACATTTGAACTCTCCAGATTTGAGTTCAACCAGGCCCTGGGACGTCCAGAGAAGATTCATAACAAACTTGAGTTTCCCTCTATGCTGTACATGGACAGGTGTGTGTTCTTTCACTTTCTCCTAAACTGATCTGAGTGAGGGTTCAATAACAGGTCTTATTTTCTTCTTTAGATATATGGACAGGAACAGGGAAATAACCAGAATCAAGAGGGAGGAGATCAGAAGGCTGAAGGAGCACCTTACATTACTCCAACAACGACTAGAGAGGTACTGTATAGAAACACAAACATAATTCCCCACATCTTATCCTGTAGAGGAATCCTTTGTCATAGTCATCGTTCTCTTTCATTTCTTTTTCCTGTTAAAGGTATCTGAGTTATGGTTCTGGCCCCAAGAGGTTTCCTCTGGCAGATGTTCTCCAGTACGCCATGGAGTTTGCCTCCAGTAAGCCCGTGTGCACCTCCCCTGTGGACGACATTGATTCTTCTGCTGCCCCTGGAGGTGCAACTAGTCAGCAGTTGCCCCCACCAAGGTTAGTTACAAATTGTCAATTGTACAATTATTTACTATTTGTCTTTTTATTAAAAACATCTTCAACTAGAAAGAATCTAAAGAAACTATCAAATGGTAATGTAAAAGTTCACCTGTCTTCTTAATATACAGCACAACGGAGCAGGACTCTGTGGCTCCACTTGAAAGCATGTGTCCTGCTGCATCATCAGGCTCCACAGGGGGACAGCAAAGAGTGCCCATTCATAAACCCTTTACTCAGTCGCGGTTACCTCCGGATCTCCCAATGCACCCGGCTCCGCGCCACATCACAGAGGAGGAGCTGAGGGTGCTTGAAAGCTGTTTACACCGATGGAGGAGTGAAGTGGAGAATGACACTCGTGGTATTTTTAACTTCCTATTTTTATATTCATGACTCATGGCCAAATGCAGACTAATTATATTTGTTTTTCTTGTGTTCAGATCTGCAGGGCAGTATTACCAGAATCCACAGAACCATTGAGTTAATGTACTCTGACAAATCTATGATGCAGGTAAGGTCATTGGCTGCTACATTAGAAACTCCATGAGAATACATGTGTTAATTTGTACTTGCTCTGTAATCCTTCTGTGCCAGGTCCCATACCGGCTCCATGCTGTTCTTGTGCATGAGGGCCAGGCCAATGCAGGCCACTACTGGGCTTACATCTATGACCCCCATCAGCGCTGCTGGATGAAGTACAATGACATTTCTGTCACCAAGTCATCCTGGGAAGAGCTTGTGAGGGACTCGTTTGGAGGCTACCGCAATGCCAGTGCCTACTGCCTCATGTACATCAATGACAAGAAGCCCTTCCTAATAGAAGGTTCATTTTACTTTGGAGTGGTGCTTTATTGTTGCATGATACAATTTAACTTGTCCGTTCAACTTTATTTTTTGGGGTGTTTCAGAGGAGTTTGATAAAGAAACAGGTCAGATACTCAGTGGTTTGGATAAACTCCCTCCAGACTTGAAACAGTACGTGAAGGAGGACAATGAGTTGTTTGACAAGGAGATTATGGAGTGGGATGCCCTGCAGGCCCGCAAGGCTCAGCAGGAGAAACTGGCTCTGGCAACAGCTGCTGCGGCTGCTGCTGCTTCAGCCGCATCCAGCACCTCCACCTCCTCTTCCTCCCCTCAGCCAATGAGCATCGAGTCCAGCACCCCAGACAACACAGGTGGGTTTTGTATTTGTCTTGATAGTTGTGTGAAGAGCATTTGCTGGATCATGCAAATTACAAAATATTGTTAATTTATGCCACGTTTATGGTCATTTGATCCTTCTCTCTCCTGTAGTTCCTCAACAGGATCCTGAGTACATGGAACAGCCTTCGCCTACCAATGACTCTAAGCACCTGCAGGAGGACACAGAGAGGGCCATTTCCAAAGCTGTAGCTGAGCAGGAAGAAAGAAGCCCTGAAGCATTACTAAATGCTGTACGTACAACAAGCCATTCTGTCAAGTACATTTTAAACAAATAAACAAAAATAATATACTGCCTATTCAATACAAATCATTATCTATAGGAACGTAGGAAGTTAAAACATGCTGCTGTCCCTTTCCATCAGTCATCCATTCTTAAAACCTGTCCCATTCTCTCTACAGTCTCCTCACTCTCCCTCCTCCCTTCAGCCTGAGGCCAGCCCCCCCTCGGCCCCCTCCCCTGACCTGGTCAAAGAGGATCAGAGCCCTGGCCAGCGCACAGTAGAGGTGGCCATCCCTCATGTTGGAACCTTTGTCATACAGGCAGAGGAAGGGGGATATGATGACGAGGTAGCTTTTTGTCTAAGCTAAACTCTGCTCAGCCTCCGTGCCTGTTTGACACACTGAATGAGAGCACTGTTGCCCCATTCACCTGGCTCTTTCAGATCTTTCACACCTCAAATATGTGACACCTTTTGCCAGCTGGGTCCAAGCTTGGTTTGAGGTCTGAAATGCCACACAATGGACTGACCTCTAGTCTAGTCTTCATGCATGGGTCTAGTGTGGAACGTCTCTCCTCAAGCCAGACTGCATCTTGGCATTAATGCGGTAGACATTTAGCTGGGCGCTTCGGTCTGTGTGGTCTTTTCAATTAACTAAATCCATACTTTTGTCAACTCTGTCTAAATTAATGGGTTTATGGTATAGGTTTATATAGATGGCTTCATTTTCGGGTTGGAAGTCAGATGGTCATTTTTGAGTTTCTTGCTGTCTGTGGTACCCAGCTCTGGTGTTGGTATATTTCCATACTGTCCTAACACATCGTTTAGGCTTTGCCCTTGTTGTGGCACCCTTACTTACTGCATGGACGGCTGTGCGGTTGGCATGCCCCTTCTGTGGTATGCTTCATGTTGTGCACGTAACAGTAGATGACCATAGATGACCATGCCCATGTTGTTCTGTTTAACTTGGTTCCTGCTTCTTGGGCAGGCTATGATGACCCCGAACATGCAGGGTATAATTATGGCCATTGGCAAATCCGGCAGCGTATATGAAAAGAATGGGCCAGAGGCGGCCTTTTTTAAGGTACATCCTACCTTTTGTTCACCTCTATCACCCTCATCCCCTCCCACACTCTGTTTTTATATGTTATTATATCAGCGGTCTACAAACTAAGTTTTTAACTAAAATACTGACTTTTTTACTTAAAGGTGTAACATTTCTAGTGGAGGGTCCGCCACCTGCTTGTCTGCACGGAAATGTTATTGCTCTGTCTAGAATGTTCCAGAGTATAGATTAAACTTATCTATCACAAGGGAGACAAGCAGGTTAGAGTACTACGCTACATTACAGTTCAGATCTGTGGAGAGTTGCTCCTATTCACAGAAGGAATAATTATATTTTTAAGAAATAGAAACACCCATAATGAATGCCTAGAATAGAATAGAAAGACTTTGTCATTACACAATAGTATAATGAAGTGGATATGTTTAAAGTCATATCATGGAACATTCCAGCCAAGTAGGTTGCGGACCCTCCAACAGGAAAGTTGCACAGTGCACTTTTAACTTTAACTAAAACTTACTCAAAAATAAACACAATGCATTTTTGTCTCTTACAGCAGAGGGGAGCGCTTGCTAACATGGCTGTGTAATAATATATTATATTTTTTCTGTGTCTCTGTGCTTATAGGCCATCAAGCTGGAATACGCTCGACTTCTGCGGTTTGCTCAAGAGGACACTTCTCCAGAGAATGACTACCGAATACAGCACATTATCGTCTACTTCATTCAAAACCAGGCTCCTAAGAAGATTCTCGAAAGAACTCTTCTCACACAGTTTGCAGACAGGAACCTGGCTTTTGATGAGAGGTTGGTAAAACTTTAAGGTTTGTGCAGTTCCCAACAGGGGGCAGCAGAGACCTAAAATGAGTTGCGGTATGAATAGCTTTTATAGTATTTTGCCCTCACCCTGTAAACTACTGAATTGTCATCAGTTATTTTAGCTTAATACTTTTCCCCATTGTTCATTTGTCGTTGTGAGTAATGCTTGTGACTATACAGTCCCTGACAAAAGTCTTGTCGCTTATCCATTTTGTAGAAACAAAAGCTTATAACCCGACTTTAAATTAATCGATTGGTTTTAGAAATGTCTCATATGAAGCTAAAACCCTCCCAAATTATGCTCAATATACTAAAATAAATTTGCTTCACTGAAGAAAGATTGATCATTTAATGAACACAGAAAGGTCAGATTTTGGCAAGACAAAAGTCTTGTCGCCTTGTCATATGATGCACTCAATCCTAGATTACAGCCTCATCTGTGATCAGTTACTGATAAATCAATTAGTGGGTGTGTATAAAAAGAACCCCAGCACACCAGACCTTCACATCAACTGCAACTTGACCTCTGACAACATGCCTAAGATCCACCCTGAGACCAAAGCGTTAATTATCAAGAGGCTGAAGACCAGATCCACTGCTGAGGTGGTGACACCTTCAATGTGTCTCAGTGTGAAGTACAAAGAATAAGAAAAAGATCTGAAATGACTGGAGATGTTTCTGACAAGCCCAGGTCCAGCAGACCCCGCAAGACAACTGCTCGGGAGGACCGTTTGTTGATTCGAAAATCCAAGGCCAGCCCCTTTTCCACTGCAGCAGACTCCACCAGGCCTGGTCACCTCAAGTCCCTGTGTCAACCACAACAGTTTGTAGAATTCTGTCTCGAAATGGCCTCCATGGTCGAATCAGTGCACAGAAACCAGCACTAAACAAAAGGAAATTAAAAACCGTGTGGCATTTGCCAAGGCCCACAGCCTGCTAAAAGGATGGACACTGGAAAAGTGGCAGAAGGTGGATTTCTCAGATGAATCCTCGGTTGAATTACATCACAGCCACCGCAAATATTGTAGGAAACCTACTGGAGCCCGCATGGATCCAAGATTCACCCAGAAAACATTTAAGTTTGGTGGCAGAAAAATCATGGCCTGGGGTTCCATCCAGTATGGGGGTGTGCCAGACATTTGCAGGGTGGAAGGCAATATCAATAACCTAAAATATCAAGAAGTATTAGCTACCTCTTACATTCTCAATCATAAAAGGGGTCAAATTTTGCAGCAGGATGGTGCTCCATCGCATACTTCCATCTCTACATCAAAGCTTCTCAAGGCGAAGAAGATCAAGGTGCTCCAGGACTGGCCTGCCCAGTCACCAGACATGAACATCATTGAACATGTCTGGGGTAGAATGAAAGAGGAAGCATGGAAGGCAAAACCTAAGAATCTTGATGAACTCTGGGAGGCATGTAAGACGCTTTCTTTGCTATTCCTGATGACTTCATCAACAAATTGTATGAATCATTGTCGAACCACATGGATGCAGTCCTTCAAGCTCATGGAAGTCATACAAGATATTAAATATGGATCTCAGAGCACCACTACTTAATTCACTGACGTTATGCATCATATTTTTGTATTTGAAGTAAATTATTTGTTCAATTTTCTGTAGGCGACAAGACTTTTGTCTTGCCAAAATCTGACCTTTCTGTGTTCATTAAATGATCAATCTTTTTTTCAGTGAAGCAAATTTATTTTAGTATATTGAGCATAATTTGGGAGGGTTTTAGCTTTAATATGAGACATTTCTAAAACCAATCAATTAATTTAAAGTCAGGTTATAAGCTTTTGTTTCTACAAAATGGATAAGTGACAAGACTTTTGTCAGGGACTGTATACTACCTTCTGAACTACAATTGTTGTTCTCTAGGGATGTTGCTGTATAACATTTTATTTTTATGATTATTGTGAAAAGATGTGTCACAGATTGATAACATGATTAAACAAAAACAAAATTCTTAATTCACTTTCAATCGTTGTGTCTAATAGATCATTTCTGTAGTATGTGGTCAGCTTTGAAATCAATCTTTCTGAATGAGAAGTGAATTTAATTTAGACAGATTGATAGATTTAGATAGATTGCATTTGATTTATATGTGTAAAAAGTAGGTTTTTGTTCAGAGTGCAGATTGTAAAAAAACTCAGAGCATTTGAGACAAGTCTGAAATAGGAACTGATAAACTAGATCAAGAATCCCATGGATTTCAGAACATGTTTGTAGAGGTCTACTGGTTCAACAAGATTTTGATATTCTTTGCTGAGGACATTCTATCATAAAAAAAATAATTGCAGCTTTTGTGATTTGATAATTGTGCCAAGTCAAATAGCAATTCCTATTCATTTGCGATACATAGCTTAACCTTAGTTCTCTTCTTCATTCATTCAGCACTAGAAAGAGTCATGAGGCCCTGTTAAAGCTTAGGGCCAGGGTGGAACCAGGGCTCTGACTCACCACCTCAGTGCTATTGCCAAATTCTCTTTTAACTACATTCCTGCTTGTTCCTCTGCAGATGTAAGAGCATTATGAACGTGGCACGTGCCAAGCTGGACCTCATCAAGCCTGAGGAGGTCAACATGGATGAATATGAGGTATTTGTGCTTTGCTTTGCATACAATGTAAATTTTGTGTGCTCAACCATCAAATGTTCAAGTAGTAGTAACATTTTATTTTCACTCTCGTAGATCTGGCATCAGGACTACAGAAATTTCCGTGAGACGACCATCTTAATGACGATTGGATTGGAGCTTTTTCAAAAGACAAAGTATGTTAACTTAAACAGTGCTTATTCCTGTGAGTGCTTCGCAAACTTTTAAGCCTGGAGCAAAATGAAAATTATGCCTGCAATATATATATTTTTTATAAGTTTAGTGTGTTATTTGATCAAATTTAACTCAACTATTCAGTTTTCAACTCAGAAAAAGTAAATTATATCTTCCAAACATACCACCCTAATTCAGTGCTTCACGACCGCCATTATGAGAACCACTGCTTTAAGTTGTGCCTTGGAATACCGTTGCTTTTATCAATTCTGCTGCAGCTCAAAGTGACCAGTAGAGGGCAGCAATTAATAACACTAGCACAGAGTTTATAAAGCAGCTGTCATAGGCAACTCATACTTTCGTATTAACCCTAAACAGTGTTGTTTTATGTATTTTAATGTGAGTATTTTGTTTTTCAGCTATGTGGAGTCTCTGATGTATTTGATATATGCGTACCAGTACAACAAAGAGCTTCTGACTAAAGGACTGTACAGGGGGCATGATGAGGAGCTCCTGGGACATTACAGACGAGAGTGTTTGTTGGTGAGTTCTGTTCTGAGTGGAGTGGCTAGTATAAGACAAAAATGTGTATATATATATATATATTATATATATATATATATATATATATATATATATATATATATATATATATATATATATATGTATATGTATTTTCTTTTCATCATCTCAATGTCAATATTTAGACAATATTTTAAAAGTGCATCAGGTATGTGTTAAACTGTGCCTATAAGTGTCTTGGTTTAGGTTAAAGTATCGCACAAAACATGAATAGACTTAATCTAACCACAAAAGTGCAGAAATATCACTTTATAGAGAGAGATTACACTATGAGATCATTTCCAATACCTCATAATTAGTCATTCTCAGAGAAATGACAGAAGGTGTGGTTATTCCCATAAGTATTTAATTATAGTGATTATCAAACAGTATCTCACCTGCAGAAAATGATTCTTGAATGAAAGCCCTTCTGTTGAACTTGCAATCTGAATAAAAGTGACTGACTAGTCTACTTTTTAAATAATCTTCATTGTATTTTGACAGTTGTTATAGTTATTTGGATCATACAGACTAAAACACATGCCAAAAGACCTTTTATAACAAAGACAGCAGCATTATTAAATCAAAATCTCCTAAAATAATATACAATTTCAGATTTTCCACAGTAATATACTTCATAAATACTTTTATCTAGAAGCCTCCAGTCACCTTATTTCAACTTTTATTTGTACATTGAGATATTACAAGTACAGCTTTAAAAATACAGAATAGTGTTAGTTATTCTGTATTAGTTGTAACCCAACAACATTTGCAATATCATCCATTTTTCAATATCTCTCCCATCTCCTGTTCTGAGTGAAATTACAGAAGATAGGGTTTTTCCTCTAAGTCTTTAATTACATGAAACAGAGTATGTCCCCTGCAGAGAATGACTCTTAAATGAAAGCTTTTATGCCGAACTCTGTGATCTCTCTCTTTTCTTACATCTCAAACTTCAAAACTGACTCAGCAAAATGAACATGGGCACTTTCTGCATCATCTTGATGAGTGTGTTAAATAATCAAATGATTTGCTCAGATTTCGCACTGACTTCCCCACAGCCCTCGGAGAATTCCTATGAAGTTTTGTCTGATGTTTTTGGAGCACTGTGATGTGATATCTTTTGATTCCACTAAATACCAAGCTGCGGGCCTTGCTATGGTATTTTTGGTTAGTGCTGTGGGTATTTTGGTCGGATCAGGCTTATACTGGTCTTGGGCTGTCCTCTTTGCTGCTGCACTCGGTAACCTTACCCCAGCATTGTGCTCATAATGTAATCATTGGAGTGGGAATAGGAAGCAGGAGGCCCATAGAGTGTAAACACATTAGCATGAGACTTGTCCTTATCCAACCCCAGACCTCAGCCCAGCACAAACGCATGGGCCAGAACCTCGACTCTGTCCACTCAGCTGTTTACCTCAACTCTTGTTTTAATTGAAAACACTACCAACATTGACACAGCTAATACTCTTGGATGCGTTGCAAATGTAGCCTTGCAGCCACTAATTCAAAACTTGTTTAAAAGGGCTTCTATCCTTCTTTCGTGTTCCCTCCGGTGAGAAAAGGGAGGTCAGTGAGTTTGTCTGTGACGCTAAAAAGGGTTTGGCCAAGAACTTTACAAAAAACATTCACTTTGAAAGAGAAGAAAGATAGGCCGTGCAAAGGCTGGTTAAAGGATATTTTCTTAAATTATTGCCAGAAGTCTCTGAGATCCTGTTCTAGTGTTTCCCACAAGTTTAGTCTCTGGTGGCACGACTGGTCCAGTTATTACTCATTTTATTTAATGCAAGTTATACATGGTATAGTATAGATGTGTGTATTCCTGAGTTTCAGATGACATCACTACATTATATACATCAGTCAAAAGTTGGGATACACCTTCTCATTCAGTGTTTTTTTTCTATATTTTTACTACTTTCAGACAGAGGTGGGGACTTGCAAGTCGTGACTTGGACTCAAGTCAGACTTGAGTCACAATTTTGAGGACTTGACTTGACTTGATAAAATGGACTAAGACTTGGGACTTGACCTGAACTTGAGGTCTGTGACTTGAGAAAACTTCTGAATCTGAATTCTTTCACACTAAGAGCTTGTCAAGATATTTTTGCATTTCTACTACTCTTATATATACTACTCTCTTATATAAATACTCATATATATATATATATATATATATATATATATATATATATATATATATATATATATATATATATATATATATACCATGACTTTATAAGTACAATTTATCTTAAAGTACTTTGCAATTTATGTAAATATAAATTGCAAAAATGTAAGTACTTTGGTTTAAAGACTTGAAATGACTTGAAGCTCAAAGCAGACGACTTGGACTTATGGGCCAGTGACTCGAGACTCAACGTGAACGTGCCTGTATTTGACTTGAGACTTACTTTAGACTTGCAAAAAGACGACTTGGTCCCACCTCTGCTTTCAGAAGACATCAAATATATGAAGTAAGATACATGGAGGGGGCAGCTAAAATAAATATATTTAATATGCATGTTTTTGTTGTAATGAGGGGAGTTAATTGGTCTAGTCATTCATCAGCTTCAACATTTGTGAATTTACCTTTTACGTATTTTTTTGACACAGTGTAATATAATGGGGAAATTTGGCCTTTCTATAAGTGACTAGCCCCTCAAACTGGCTATACTACAACAAAAACAGGATTTTAAATCAGACTGGTCTATTGAATGTTGTGATCTCATCTGAAAGGCAGCTTTTGCCTCTGCTCATCCAAAAAGTACTGGTTACAGATTAAGTACAGTAAATACTATAGTATTTGTGTTAATTTTTTTTAGATTTTTCAGATACACTACATTCTATTTCATAAAATAATGACAAGCCAAAGCCACTGGAGACAGATTTTCAGTGGAACATATGCAAACTCCTGTCCAATTTATTTGAGATTTTCTGCAGCTTGAAAAATTTTAATGATTTCACATCCTTCTCCACAGAAACTAAACGAGCAAGCGGCGGCCATGTTCGAGTCTGGAGAGGAGCCTGACGTGAGCACAGGTCTGGGGGTCATGAATGAACTGGTGGTGCCCTGTATTCCTCTGCTCCTGGTGACGCGGAGAGGGACCTGCTTGCCGTGGAGGACATGCGCAACCGATGGTGCTCTTACCTGGGCCAGGAGATGGAAGGTGAAGCCTCAAGTGGATGGGTTTGGTTTGGAGATGTGGTACTTTTTGTTACCATGGTTTTATTCAGCTTGACAAAATTTTACAGAAGAATCGGTGTTCATCTTGACAAGAAACCTTAATTTAGTTCTAGTCTGTATTAGGGATGTCAAAGTATCAAAAATCAGATACTCTATCTAACTATCAATACGAAAAAGTCACATTAACAGGACAGAAATTAACCTTTTCTGAATAGCTTTAGACTGATCTTAAGCTGTAACAAGTACAAACAACATAGATTAGTATACGCCCATGAACTATTGGACATACTGTACATGGACAACTGGGATATTGCAGAGATATAAGGTCACGTAGTAATATAAAAGACAGTACAGTGTTTTTATCATCTTTGTGGTTTCGAAATTGGTATCAAGTTTTGTATCTATTCCAAGTCTATTAACTAAAAGGATTATTATTATTATTTTTTTTAATTCAGTCAACTAATTCTTGACTAGTTTTATTCGATGAAAATGACAAGTTTTACTTGTAATAGTTTTTGTCAAGCAGAAAATATATGTTTGTTTTAACCATAAGAATTTTATTGGCTTGCTTTGTGGAACATGTAAAGACGTTCCATGGACCTTTTAGTTTGTTTATGGATTGGGGCTCTCAGTTCAAAAAGGGAAACTTGGATTTGGCCTCTAGTTGTTCCTTCCTTTCATTCATCTATGTTTATGTTGAATAGCTAGCGACAATATAAGTACTTTTAGTTGACAAAAAAATATACGCATTGTTTTATTCAACAAAAGTGTGAATAATTTTGGTCATGCTACTTTTAATTTAGTTTTAGTCCACAAAAACATGGCATTGGCAAATACTGTGACAACATTATTTAGTTTAGAATCAGTTTTACAATACTACTTGTTTTCAGACATCTCCAGCTATCATTGTGAAAATATTTGCCCTTTGATTTTTCTAGTTGGGGATTAGGCTCTGTTCATTGTTACAAAACGCCCACACATTGACCGCATTGTCTGTCCTTATTTTTACAGCGAACCTCCAGGAGAAGCTCACAGACTTCCTCCCCAAGTTACTGGACTGCTCCACGGAGATCAAAAGCTTCCATGACCCCCCGAAGGTCCCCAGCTACTCAGCCCTCGAGCTGTTTGAACGCTTCAGCCGCATAATGTCCGTCATGGGGAGGGTGCCCAGCGAAGGCAGATGAACTTTGAGGAAATTTTTCCCCAATGACAACGGCCCCAATCCATGGACCTGTTTAATTCACGCCTTCCTCCAGTATCCAGGATCTGCTTTTAGCTCTATTCCTCTGTTACTATTTTGCTGCTATAGTTTTTATCATTATGGTTATGAGTTCACTGTTATTTTAAACTAAACAAGAGGTGGAAATGGACTGATGGAAAATGACCTGAGGGACACTATATTTCAGAATGGTGGCAATTTTACAGTAAAAGAAACCACACAGATTATTACAGCTTTGCAAAAAATCAGTTGAAGTTTTTCATAGTTCATTGTAGTTGTTTGGTTAAAGCTTCTACCCCAGCCCAGTTCATGGTCCCTCTCCCTGTGAACAGTTACCCCTCTGCTCTGCCTCCAGTTTGGTACAGTATTACCATGTTTTGCTTTATTTTTCTAAGCAAGTATGAAAAGAGAGCCCTCAGATTGTCAGCGGCTCAGAGTATCTCAAATGGGTCTCACGTCTCTAGACTGTGCCAGAGTGAGATGTTTTAAGTGCTGTGGTAGACGGCCATGGACGTCCTGTGGCTTGTTAATAACTCGAGAGAATAAAGTTTTATTTATGGCTCTTTAGGCCAACTTAACATGTGTGTATGTTGTTGAATTTCACACATTGACATATTATTTGGTCAGAGGTGGGTATAGCAGTCAAAAATACTAGTCCAGTAAGACTAACGTTACTCAAATTACTAGTGGTCCAAGAAATTATTCAAGTAAGAGTAAAAATTATTTGGGAAAACTACTGGTCAGTTAAGAAATACAAAAAATATCGTGGAATGTTGTAAACTCTTGAGTGTTGCACATTTTGAAACTGTTAGTGCTGCAATAACCTGAGATTTAATTCAGTTTGATTATACAGAGTAAAAATTGGGGTGAAGAGTGGGGAAGACAGTCAGTTGCCTGTGGTACTCAAGCCTAATAAATAACTAAACAACATAGGGAAAAGAAAGAAATATCATTACATCTTTTTTATGCCATTTTATAGGTCGAAGAGAATAAGAGTCTTGCACAACATAATTTTCTGCTACAATCACAATATTTATTAATTAAATATTTTATCCTATTCGTTTAAATTATTGAGTGAGTAGGTTAAATGTACTTATTTGGATTTCTCTCATTGTTGGTTTTCAGATGACATTATAACATTCGAGAGACCAAAATATTTAATACATACAGGGGCAGCAAAAATAATATTATTTGAATCCAGATTTTTGTTGTAATACAGTGAGTTTTTGAGTCTTGTCCGTACTGGAAATGAACAGATTTAACATTTGTGAATTTACCTTTTCAATATTTCATGCCTGGAAGTATCACATTGTAGAATCTGAAATCCACCAATCAGAGACTGCGGGGTCATTATATTGGTGACAGAAACTTGTACAATTTTTCAGCAAACAGCAAACAGAAAGCCACCTTTTCACAACCTCTCCATGTCTCTACATAGACTTAGCTCCAAACAAGTCCAAACTTCCGCTCAGAACATCTGCCCACCTCTGAGAGTAACTGGTGAGCACTTTATCCAACAGAGATTTGTGTAGCACATGTAGTAGTCCACTTTCATCCTGTGAGATGTGACTGAGATACAATCTACCAAGTTTTACTGGCTTCGCCAAAGAAATATTGAATTTAATATTGAGAAATATGAATTGAGTGTATTGTAGTCTACTGTCTTTGTCAGTGTAAACATTTTACTGCCTCAACTACAAATGCATGTAAAGCGAACATCACATAAGTAACTGTCCAGTGTTTAAATCTACTAATACAGTGTTACAGGTAGTTTTGCACAACATGGACAACCAAACACCTGAAGACATTTTAGGTTCTTTCACCTTTGAACAGTGCAGCATCCCCACAGCAGTGGCTGCACAGAGGCTCACATGGGACTACAGGTCAAAGACTTCTGGGTCCAGCCACAAAAGGCATCTGAGCAGCTTTGAACCTCAGAATGGTTCACCCACTGAGATGCCTCTAACAGAGCAGAGACAACCAAGTCCTCAGGCTGGGCACTGCCAGACTACTTCATTGTCTTCTCCTCCCATGAGAAAGTCTTAACCTGGTCCATCACATGCTGTAGAATACTGCATCCCCTCACCAGTGGTTGACCAGGAGACAGACGACTACAGGCCAAAATCTCCTTGGTCCAGTCTTAAAAGGCATCTGACCAGCTCTGAACCTTAGTACGGTTCACCACTCAGATGTCTCGAGGGGTGGCGGCAACAAGTGATTATGCCCAATGGACACTACAGCCAAGAAGCAAGTTCTCAGCCTGGGCACTGCCTGCCCACCTTCAAACAGCAGGCAAATGAGCATCATCATCCAATGATGCCTCAACAGCCAATGATGGGCCAGCACCACTAGGGTCGCTGTGCAAACTGTAATGCTCCCAGGCTTAACACTGACTGTGCCACGGAGTCAACATCAAGGTAGGCAAACTTTCACAAACTGTTAAAAACTTTTCTTCTGACTCAATCTGGCTGTGTGGTTTCTGATTATTGATTTCCTCCAGGCACTACTCCTGTGGTCGTGTAAAAGAGGTATGGAAACATGGGACTATATTTGATGGATATGGTTTGTTTTCTTTTCTCATGAGTTATTTTTTTTTGTCTCGCTTGTGTTACCATTTGATCTCTGAGGACATGTTACGACCCTGTGGCATTGAGTAGGTACTGCTACTGCAAACATCTTCAGCATTTTTAATCAAAGGTGAGTTGTTCCACTAATTGGGTGATTTATTTTATTCATCTTTAGAGATGGAGAAATAATTTTTGACATTGTTCCTCATCCACCTATTCTTGATGTTGACTCCAGAGTCAACATCAAGGTAGGCAAACCTTCACATATTTTGTCTAACATTTTATCTAATTGATTAATGATTTTGATTGTTCTCTTTAGTTGTGGAGACTTGGTGGAAGCGACGTATGTAGACGAGCCCCTTTCTCACGACAGTCCCTCTGCTAGGCGAGCCCCCACATCAGCGTAAGCCACTGTTGCATATTTGTCTACTTATGATATCTAATTGTACACTTACCTGATTTAGACAAGTTCCAGAGGCGTTCCAAACCCCCAAAAGCCAAAACGAGTCATCAACCCAGACACGTTTGAGATACCCACAGGTTTCACCACGTTCAGGGACCAGAAATGGTTTAAATTTCGAGAAGAGCTGGGAATCAAAGATACACAAGTGACTGCTTATGCTCTGCAGGAACATGTAAAATTTCACCTTCATACATCCAAGTTACGACTGACCATCTTCTGAAGATTTTGGAGGAATGTGCCGGATAGTAATGTATTTTATTTGTCTACAGCACGAAATGGGTAAGATGATTTTCTATAAAAATAATTCATGTTAACTTTGAATTTACAGTACTCATTATTGTCTGTTTTTATTTTTACACAGAAAAACTTGGGGATTGAGGAGGAAAAGATTTGGAAAAAGAAGACACAGGAGAAGAAGAAGATGCAGGAGAAAAACAAAACGCTCATGTCGCTGCTCTCATGTTGATCAGATCGTCAGAGGAGGACATCGATGATTTTATTGAAGTGGAGTAGATCAACACATTTTGGCCCCTATCCAGAGGCCATTTTCAATAAAGTGTATGCAAGGATGAATTTTGGTTATAATTTAGTATCTTTGCTATTTAAACTTGTGTTATTTACTGTGTATTACAAATATTGAGATGAACTTGTTTCCAGAGTAAAATAACAAGAGTAATTGTTTCCACTGCACCCAGTTCCTTCAGTTACAGACTGCAACTATTTATATACTTGGGACAAGAGGCCCCTGTAAACAATCTTTTCTGCAAACTCAAGCAATCTTTCTGTGGCATATATTAAAAGTATATTCATTTATGACCTTGTATGCACAGTATGCTGAATTAGTTTAAGTCCACCTTCCCCAGTGTATGTATACTGGGAAGCTGCTTTGTAAGACATGCATGCACCTACTTCACTATTCTGATACCAGATAAAGAGCCTCTTTCAATTCTCTACCTGGAATCGCTTCTTTCCTATATTACACAAAATTGTTATATTGCTGTTACCTCATCAAAAACATACCTGCAGTTGTATTTAGTTTCATTCAATCATGACGAAACAACAGAAAATAGCATAATATGGGCCCTTTAATAACTGTTGGGATATAACACCTGTTTTATAATTTGAAGGACAAAACATTAGATAATGTACAAAATCTGGTATTTCCAAAGGATAGACACAAAAATGAGGTAAACAAGATATCAGAAGGAGCAGTGCAAGGAACTTAAATGCTCGTATCATTTAATATTGTCAACATAAAGCAACATAAACTCAAACTGTTAATAAGTAGGAGTAAAAGTATGCTTCTAGAAAAGTACAATATATCTCAAAAGTTATTCCAGTAAATATAAAGTACTACCCACCTCTTGTACCTGTGATATTTTTAAGCACACTGAAGCTTGACTAGGGCTGTACCACCTGAGGGGCTGGCATTAACGTAAGTCAGTATTCAGTGTCCTGTGTAAAGTTGCACCAGTAACACATCCATTAAATTTTAGATCTGAAGCAGGAGAGCGACCTTGATCCAACAGCCTCCCCTGCAGTGACAATTGAGCCGTTAATATGCACCCTTATTGAATCAGACTTTAATGAGAGTCGCTATAAAGTCTAAGGCTTCCAGCATGTGGCCCCGTTAATGAAAAACACACTGTGATTTTCAACTTTTTGTTTTTATCATGCTCTTTTGAACTCATTTCCTCAACTAATTCTAATTTCCAGCAACACTGATCACTCACAACAGGAGTCAAAATAGGAAAATATTATTTATTTAAAATGTGTTTAATTGTCCTGCCTAAGACTTTACTATACAACCTTTCATAGTGCATGGTGTGTTTCTGATTTAACTTTAATTATTATATTATACCAGATCACTTAAAGGGCCCATATTATGCTATTTTCTGATCTTGTAATGTTTTCTCATCAGAAACATTTCTTGAGCTGTGTTTTGTTTAATTTACATGTTTTTCGTCTCTGAAACAGAAAACACTCCACACACTTCCACCTTGTGATGTCATGTGGTAAATGCTCCACTGTGTTTTAAAACTCCACACTCCTTCATGAGAAGCATTTGGATAAATTCACCTCTGGAATCACTCATCTCTACTGAACTAAAAGTTAGAGGAGCTGTTGACTTGAAAACTACCGTGTCATGACATCACAAGGTGGAACAGCATTTTAAGATTTGGAGATGTAGATAGACTAATAATGAAGGATTACTCAAACTTATGTGAATGAATCAAAATACATCTTTAGGAATATTTTTGATATGGTAAAACATGCTAATATGGATTAAAGCTTGTCATTTTTGTGTAATTTTGGCCATTTAATTGCTATATTTATCAGTTAGGCCAATCCCAATAATTAGTATATCAACCTATTGTTCACTGAATAATAGTTGTAACAATGTTTTTTAATGGTCACTATTAATATGTGTTATAAATAAATCCATGAGCTAATAATACACACAACGTACTAAAGTGGATTATTCTGCTATTTAGTTACTGCAACTCATTTAGAAAAGGGTTTATTGGGATTGTCCTGCTTTAGGGTTTTTATGACCATAGCATAACGTTTCAATATTATAATAATTTTTTCTGTACCAATACTGTATATCACTCTTCAGAATGCGTTATTGTGACTGGCTTGTTTTCACTGTAGCTGTAATTCTTTTAATGATTTTCTAACTTTGTACACAAATGTAAATTCCACTGCTCATTCCAGCATTCTCCTCTTGTCTGGCATTGACCCTGGGTGAACTTGTATCGGCAGGTAAAAAGTGCTCGTGCATTCTTCAATGTGGTTCACTGGTGCAGAAAGACACGAACAGCTAGTCTTGTCAGGGCCTTCATGTTTCAAGAGCATTGAGTGGTGTTCAGAACTTCAAAACAAATCTGTACAACTTTATTGACAAGTTAAACATATGTTTGTAGATAGGTGCCTGTGTCTCCAGTCACCTTTTGTCCTTTGCTCTTGTTGTCTTAAGATGGAGCTGCAGCAGAGATGACTGAGAGGAATATTAAATTATCCACAAACTGATTTAATCTTCTTTCTGCTGACTCATATATTTGAGCTATTAGGTAAATCCATCAACATAAGTTTACAAACATCCTTGGCATTTTTCCATTTATTTTTAGTGGTTTCTTGTGGAAAACTACTCGAGTAATGTATGTGGCTAGATACTAGATCCTCACACACTGAATTATACTTTACCATACAACCTTTTCTATGCTCGGTCCTATGTTATTTGGTCGTGACGTATGTAATGCACCGCCAAAGGGTCTAATTGGTATATTAAGCTTTTCCCAAATCCCACAGGAAGAAGAACAATAACATCTTTCCCCTTGATAAAATTCACCAAACATTCTCTTTGTTCCGGCTTTAAATCCTCGGTCTCGGGAGTCGTTGCCAACATAGAATGTATGTCTTAGTCTACATCCATCTTGACCACTTTGTTTACTGTTGTGCTGTGTCACCTGCCTCAAACGCCTGTCTGGGTCCCAGACAGTTTGAGTTTGACATTATGGCTTCACAGTTCTTCGCTGATTGGGCGGTGTGTGGTCTGCAACTTCCGGGGTTCTTGCAAACCATCTAGTGTTCCGAATTCTGATGTAGTCGCTGGAGAGAAATTAAACTGAGCGGCGGCACTAGGTTGCCCCAGCCTGCATACAGTTCTGTCTGATCTCATAAGGGTGGGACCTGGTTAGCCCTGGGATTGGAGATTATTGTTGTGTCCTTAGGCAAGGCACTTCGCTGTGCCTGCAGCAGGAGCTTAGCACTGAGTAAAGAATGAATTAGTAATGCAGGAAATTATAAGAGGCTTTAAATGTTTAGATTACATTATTATTAGCCTATTATATTATTACTATTACTTCTTTATCTGTTTAATCACATCTGCTTATTTCTGTTGGAAATGTTTTAACAGTCCTATATTAGACAAACCTGACATCTTTCAGCCATAAGCCATGTTATAATTGTGGCAAGGTAGCTGATCATGTAGTCTCTGCCATGTGACACAGGTGTCACATGGCAGAGACTACAAAGGTCAGAGGGGAACTAGGTGACTTCCTCTTCCTGAGCAGGCCTAACACACGGCTATTTCTGGGTTTTAACAGTCCAGATGAGAGAGGCTCAGTGCTGGTTGCCGTTTTTGAGTTTTAGTTTTGATTGTTAATTCATTACAGCTCTGCAGTGGGTGTGGGCTGGAGGTCGCTGGGTGTGGAGGGGGCTCACATAGAGGGTGACCTTATTTATAGTTATTGGTGATGGTGGCACTTGTAAATGGGTGTTTTCAGTTGTGGTAATGGTTTTCTTTGTATTAATCTTGTTTGTTTTCTCACATTATAGCATGTCTCCTTCACCCCAGCTTTAGGGTGGAGCCGCACCCCTGCAGTAGTATCCTCACTTGTTAAAAGCACCTTTTAATATTTTTTGTAAATAAACGCTGCCGTATGGCTGTAAGACCCATACACTGACTGGCTTGCTTTGTTATTAAAGCTACCTGTGAATTACAGGTGTTACATAATGTTACCTCCTCACACATGTTTGAGAAACCCTTTATTATTTGTCTACATGTCCAAAGCTCAAAATTCTCTGTTCCACCTTGTGATGTCATAAAGTGGTAGTTTTCAAGTTAACAGCTACCTTTTACTTTTACTTCAGTAGAGAATGGCACTTCCATGGCTGAATCTATCCAAATAATTCTAGTGAAGTTGTATGGATTTTAAAAATACAGTGATATGTTTTTAATGAGGAAACAAAATTATAACATAGATCAGAAAATAACATAATATGGGCCCTTTAATATTAGCCGCAAATACTGTTGCAGAGCTGTCTACCTGGCTCATATTATGTTCTTTCAAAAACACTTGGACACTGTAATCCATTATCACATTTTTCAGAAGGTTGTGTAAGAATATTTGTCATTCAACACACTTTTATTCCACCAACACCATTTGTATCTCTGTAGAAATCAATCTATCTTTGTCTTTCTAAGTAGTCTGGGACCCACAAGTAATATAACAAGATTTATCTGCTTGCCTCTTGTCCCGATTTCACCTTCACGCTGACAAAAAGACCAAAGTTATCTCGAGTCTGCAGCTTGTCTGTTAAACCACCTTTCCTTGGCCTTATATGATCGACGTTCCAAGTACACGTTCCTGCTTTGTTTACGGGACATTAATTATCATTACTGGCGTGCTATCCCTTTAATTTTCCTCATTATTTCTATTGACTTGAAGTGCGCTTTGCAGCCAAGTTCAGGGATGATTACAGACTACAGACATTGGGCAGTTTATATAAGCCATGATGCTGATGGACAGGCCTAATTTGTGGTTTGGACCTGTTTTTCCCATTGGAACCAAATGTGAGCCCCAGAACCAATTCATGACCTGCTTTCAAGGGGTCTAGCTCCAAATTCTCGGCCCTGGGTACAAATCATGTTGATGGGGCCGCACTGCTGGATCAGGACTAATGCAAGACTAAACCAGGTCTAAACCAAGCCTAAACCAGGGCTACCACAAGACTTAACCAGGTCTTAACCAGAACTACCATAAGACTAAACCAGGTCTAAATATGGAATAACACAAGTTTTAACCAGGTCTAAACTAGGACTAAAACAGGACTACCACAAGACTTAACCAGGTCTAAACCAGAACTAAACCCAGTCTAAACAAGGAATAACACAAGATTTAACCAGGTCTAAACCAGGACTAAATCAGATCTAAACCAGGACTACCTCAAGACTAAACCAGGTTTAAACCAGGACTACCACAAGACTTAACCATGTCTAAACCAGGACTACCTCAAGACTAAACCAG